TTTTCCGGCTTTTCCCCAAACCGGAAAAAAAGCGGCGGCCATGTTTATTTAAATCCCGCAGGGGATATTTAAATCCCCCGTGCATTTCCCTATTCCAAAGTTCTAAATTAGCATGGCTATTCCGAAGAAGGGGCCAGTGTAGATATAGCCATACTGTGCATTCTACAGACCTTTAAAAATGTGGCCATGGAAGGAAGATTCTATGGGAAAAGCAGCACCAAGAATACACAGTACACAAACTCAGAGGTCTGAGGAGCTGGGAGAAAAATTAGGTGTTTATACTTTGGGGAAATAGTCTTTTGACCAGTCCTTACAGAAATCTATCACCCGGCCCCCCATTACACTGTGCTCAACAACCACTACTGAGGAGTGTAGCTGGGAGCTCCAGGTAGAATATAACCGCTGAGATTTTCAGCAGTTTAATGGTTACCTAGTTAACTGCTTTAACATCCCTGATGTGAATTGGCCAATTCTTAATAAATAGTTCAAAACAACCACAGAATTCCATTTAACGTTTTGCAGGAATTAGTTTGGATCCTTTTCTTTCTGAAAAAGTTTTTTTGGAAAAAGAATTCTGGAAAAGCTTTTTCTGAAAGGAACCTGCAGTCTAGACATAGCTTGAGACTTGGGCGTTCTTTGGATCATCAGGTTGAGAGATAGTGTCCAATCAATGTGGACGCTATCTTTCGAAAAAGCAGATTGCTTTTTTGTTGCGCTTTTGCTGTGTGGATGCTCTCTTTCAAAATAAGCTTTTCCGGAAGAGCTCTTTCAGAAAAGCTTCTTCCGAAAGAAGCTTGCAGTCTAGACATAGCCTCAGTGCTCCTATACCATTTCCTGCATAGAGAACCTGGGACTTAGGTAGCTGTGAACTTCACCATACCCAGTGCTGAAATATTATTCCCTAGATTAACTCCCAGGATCAAAGTAGCTGCAAGACCCCCCAGCTCCAGTGCCCTGCGCTACAACAACTCAGGCTGGGACTAGAGTAGTGGATTTCTGAGAATTCACCTTGCTAGCAAGAAGTTTGCACAAATGATTTAGAATAGAGATTAACACCTGGCTACAGAACGAAAACAGTAGGGAACAGCAGCAGCTCAGAAGCTAGAGAATCTGGGGATTCAAGCCCACTTGCCCTCATCATACATGACTTGCATCTCTCATCTGCTCCTGTGGGATATGCATGGTTAGTCCCCTCTCCACCCCTCGCCCCCAGACCCTGCTTTTGATGTAGCTAGTGCAGATGGAAGAGGAAATGAGGAATGTTTCCAGTCTCACTGCGCCAACCTATGAGGCAGCAACACCACTGGAATAACCCAAAACCCCTTATCCCCTTCCAGCTTGTGAGTTTTAGGAAATCAGTGGGACTGACCTGTGAGCTCGGGGAGGACGGGGGCACTCGGGAGAGGGGTCCGCTCTACACGGAATTCTAAAAATGAAATATAAGACAATTTAGGAACTTGTAAAAACTCCCCCGAGGGGGATCTCGCAGAGACACAGCAGAACTGGGACTTTCTGGATGAAGCCCAAGGCCAGAGTTGGACAAAGTCACTTCAGCTCTTGACCTTTAACTCCTTATTTTCAATGAATTTCAAGTTGGTATAAGGTGCTGGATTGACCGCGCTGGAGACTGAAAGCCTTTGCTTACCCCAGAACAGAAACAGCACATGCAGGAGCAGTGGAAGCTTTCTTTACACTGCCCAGCCCAGACGATACACCTTAACTCTGCCCTGGAAGCACCATCTCTAGGGTTGAAAGGGGAGCTGTCTGTTTGGCCCAGCCAATCCTTGATCTCTCAGCCACAACTGCCAGTTGAGCTGGTGGTGACTGTGACAAGAACACCTGGTTCACTAGGATTGAGACCCAGTGCCTGGATTCACGCAAACAACCAGACAGCAACTCTCAGTCGCCACCAGTGTAGGCTGGACTCAGACTGTCAGCCTAGAGGTGAAAGGTGCCAGAGCCTGTTGCCAGTCCCCTAATGTGAGGCCTTTCTACACAATCCACTGGGGGTTAGGGACAGAGGAGGGCAGTGGACAGAGTTGCCACTTGTCCTGAGAACAGCACGGCAGTCTCTTGTGTGGGAAGGGGAGGGAGAGCAGGCAGCCAGCAGGAAGTTCAGAGCAGCTGCAGAGCATCATCAGGGTCATAGAAGTCATAGAATCATAGAATCAAGGGGTTTGGTTCGAACTAACGTGTCCCGGCGCGCACTTCCTGGTTCGAATCAGCTGTTGAGCGGAGCAACGTGCCGGCAAAATCATGCTAATGAAGTGCAGGATATTTAAATCCCCGCTTCATTAGCAATTTCGGTCGCCTACATCTGCATCCCTAGCTCGAACTAGAGAGCAAGTGTAGACGTACCCTCAGTCTCTCCTCATAGGTCATGCGCTCCAGCCCCCTAATCATTGTGGTCACCCTCCGCTGGACCCTCTCCAATGCGTCCACATCATTTCTGTAGTGGGGGGCCCAGAACTGGACATAATACTCCAGATGTGGCCTCCCAATTTCGGTCGCCTACATCTGCATCCCTAGCTCGAACTAGAGAGCAAGTGTAGACGTACCCTCAGTCTCTCCTCATAGGTCATGCGCTCCAGCCCCCTAATCATTGTGGTCACCCTCCGCTGGACCCTCTCCAATGCGTCCACATCATTTCTGTAGTGGGGGGCCCAGAACTGGACATAATACTCCAGATGTGGCCTCCCCAGAGCCGAATAAAGAGGAATAATCACTTCTCTAGATTTGCTGGCAATGCTCCTCTTAATGCAACCTAATATGCCATTAGCCTTCTTGGCTACAAGGGCACACTGTTGACTCATATCCAGCTTCTCATCCACTGTAACCCCCAGGTCCTTTTCCGCAGAACTGCTACTTAGCCATTCAGTCTCCAGCCTGTAACAATGCTTGGGATTCTTCAGATTGTTGAACCTCATCAGATTTCTTGTGGCCCAATCCTCTAATCTGTCTAGGTCACTCTGGACCCTCTCCCTGCCCTCCAGCGTATCTACCTCTCCCCCTAGGTTAGTGTCATCTGCAAACTTGCTGAGGGTGCAATCCATCCCCTCATCCAGGTCATTAATAAAGATATTGAACAAAAGTGGTCCAAGAACAGATCTTGGGGCACTCCGCTAGAAACCGACCGCCATCCTGACATCGAGCAGTTGATCGCTACCTGCTGGGCCTGGCCTTCTAGCCATCTTTCTATCCATCTTACCGTCCATTTATCCAATCCATGCTCCCTTAACTTGCTGGCAAGAATATTGTGGGAGACCGTATCAAAAGCCTTGCTAAAGTCAAGGTATATCACAACCACTGACTTTCCCATGTCCACAGAGCCAGTTACCTCATCACAGAAGCTAATCAGATTGGTCAGGCACGACTTGCCCTTCGTGAATCCTGATCACTTTCCCCTCTTCCAAGTGCTTCAAAATGGATTCCTTGAGGATCCCCTCCATGATTTTTCCGGGGACTGAGGTAAGGCTGACTGGTCTGTAGTTCCCTGGATCGTCCTTCTTCCCTTTTTTGAAGATGGGCACTACATTTGCCTTTTTCCAGTCATCCGGGATCTCTTCTGATCTCCACAAGTTTTCAAAGATAATGGCCAAAGGCTCCTCAATGACATTTGCCAACTCCCTCAGTACCCTCGGATGCATTAAATCCGGACCCATGGATTTGTGTATGTTTAGCTTTTCTAAATAGTTCCTGACTTGTCCAGGCAGTGATGACCTTATCTGGGCTTCAACATGAGGCACGGGGTAGGTTGGGGAATTTACACATAGGTAGTGGTTTGAAGAGGGGTTTACTGGGGCTCTATGAGGTCTGGGATACAGCTCATGGCATTTCCGACTCTCACATTTAGGGAACGTCAAGCCCATTTCATGCCTGCAGGGTTCAAGTTCTGTACTCTGTTTTCAGAAAGGTAGTGACTCTGGCAAAGACACAGACACATAGAGGCAGCAAGACAGGCAAAGCTGCAAGGACCTTCTGTGTAACAGCAGCCCCACAGAGGAGCCTAGCAGAGAGGGGGCAGTGCATGAACCTGGGACTTTTCCTGTCATAGGAGTGAGAGGATAACAGCAGCAGGCATTCACATGGTGGCAGCCTCCTTTCTAACTAGCCAGTTCCCAGTGATTCCAGGCCTCCTCCCCCTCCCATCTTCACAGATTGAGAGAAAGACCAAACTAGGGCAAGGGTAAAACAGGCAGAGTGGGTCACATGCCACGGGTTTCCCTTAGCATCAGGAGAAACTGGAGGAATGGGCAGGAAGAGGCACTTACCAGGAAACTGATAAGTGTAGCCAGGCGCAAGGCCCGTGTAACTCCGAGTGGCGTAAGTGGCAGGTTGAAAACCTGGATAACCTGCCAGCAGAGAAGAGGGGATTGTTACACAAAACCCCACAATGCCACTTGCCAGCCCCAGTTCTGGGTGTTTTCCTATAGCCTGGACCAATGAACTAGGAAAGAACCAAGTGACATGGCAGTTGAACAACACACATTTGCACACGTGCATGTGTACAGTGCAGAAATGTAGGTCAAGAATTTAAAGACATTGCCTTGTTGTGGTTCCAGACATTGTTACCCTGAAAGGATATGTACAGATTGGAAGGGCTTAGGTTGCAAGTGATGATGTTCAAGCAAGAAAGAACCAAGACTGACTCTCAGACCCTAAAAGGAGTTAATTGAGCTGGAAACCTGGGATGTGGGGGGAACCCATAGCTTTTCCTTTGTAACCTGAACACATCTGCTCTGAAGTCATGGAGAACAGGTCCCCACAATGCCACACACAGACGCTCCCTTGAGGAGCGTCCCACATTAAGTGGCTGGTTTGATTTGTGACCTGAAGTTGATGGTATACAGATTGCACTGGATTCTCAAGGACATTTTTATCTCCTTTGAAAACGAGTGAGCCTTTTCATTAGGATGATACAGAGAGAACATGCTCTGCCTGTGTATCTGAAGTGATTATGCTCTCCCTGCTAGCCAACAGGAGGAGGATGACAAATACTATTTGGGGCTTTTGAAGCAAACATTTGTGGTAAAAGTCTGACCTAGTACAGCAGTAATACACCTGGGCTGTGTCTACACTGGCATGAATTTCCGGAAATGCTTAAAACAGAATAGTTTTCGTTATAAGTATTTCCAGAAAAAGAGCGTCTACATTGGCAGGCTGCTTTTCCGGAAAAGCCCTTTTTCCGGAAAAGCGTTTGTGGCCAATGTAGACGTGCTTTTCCGGAAAAGAGCCCCGACTGCCATTTTCGCGATCGTGGCTCTTTTCCGGAAAAGACTAATGGGCTG